TGCTGTACCTAGCGTGTAAGGCTGTAGTATGTCGCCACCTAGTGGCAGCAGTTCCCTCCTTGTTACAGTAAAGGGACTCTTCAAGTTTTCTGGAGCTATCTCATGCACTTGGTTATTGTTCATCTCTGATCCTGGAGCTCCTAAAATGAGCTCTGTATAGTGTACCCCGTCTGTTCTCCACTCACCGAACTGTGACGGATTTAGTTATGAGTTTTAATATTCGCCTTTTTTTTTTTTTTTGGTCCGGTCATGGGGCCTGAACTCTGGGCCTGGGCACTGTCCCTCAGCTCTTCAGCTCAAGGCGAGCGCTCTACCACTTGAGCCACAGCGCCACTTCCGGCTTTCTGCTTATGTGGTGCTGAGAAATCGAACCCAGGGCCTCAGGCATGCAAGGCAAGCGCTCTACCACTGAACCACCTTCCCAGCCCCTTAATATTCGCCTTTTAAATTTCAAACCCTTTGGTTATTTTCAAAGCACACATAGGATCTCTCTCTCTCTCCACAAACACACACGCTAAAAAAATATATTTTGTCGGGCGTGGGGCTTGAACTTTGGGCCTGGGCGCTGTCCCTCAGCTCTTTAGCTCAGGCTAGTGCTCTACCACTTAAGCTACAGCACCACTTCCGGTTTTCTGGTGGTTTTTTGGAGATAGAGTCTCTCGGACTTTTCTGCCCTGGGTGGCTTTGAACCATGATCCTCAGGTCTCAGCCTCCTGAGTAGCTAGGATTACAGGCATGAGCCACCGATGCCTAGCTTGGGTGTCTATATTTTTAAAATACCAACCTGTTTGTGACTTTGGAAGGAATTTAATGGCTATAGGACTTTGGGCTTTGATCTAATTTTTATTCTATTCTTGAATCAGAATTAGTGCAGAGCTAAACAAGAGAGTCCTTGGATTTTAAGACTCTAGAATTTAAAAGTAGTAAAAGTACTGTTAGTTAAGTTTACTTAGTTAATATTGAGGTACCAATACAGAGAGTCACATAGTTAGGCAATGAGAACTTAGCTTTAGAATATTATCAAATATTTCTATTTAATATAGAATTCAGACCAGAATTCACATTTGGAAAGTCTAAGGCCTTAAAGTGCCTACACTGAACAACATACCAGGTGCATGACAGTGAAGTTAAACCAATTGTCTGGTTTGGGGAAGAAACTGCAATGTATAGTAGAATGAAAAAAATAGAATATAACACACTTCTGAGTAAACAAATCTTTCTTTCTTGGAGGTCTAGGAAAACTATACACGCAAAGTCCAGGCCCACCTCAAAGTTTGAACACAGAAAGTTACTGAACATTTTAAACCCAAACTCTTAGCTGAAGACTCATCTAATCAAAGTAGTCACAATTCCGCTACTTCTCATCTCAGGTGATAAGTACTTTGTTCAGGTCTGGTATCCAAGGCAGGTGATGGATTACAAGTACTTTGAAGTAGATAGAACACCTTGGATTTTGCCTACTGGTCCATTAGACTTGATCATACTTAGCATTTTACCCAATTATTTATTCTTCTATTCACCTAAAGAAGCTCTTACACAGCACTTATTATGTGCCAGGAAATGTTCTAAGTGTTTGATATATAACGTAATAGTTTTCACAACCCTGTAAAATAGGCCGACTCATTAGCCCTATATTAGAGCTAAAGAAACTGACATAGAGGTTGAATTAGATTCCTAAATTTACACAGTAAATGGATTGAAGCCTGGTCCAGAATCAGCTGAGTGCTCTGCTGTTCTGTATTCAGGATGAAGGCCTGTGTTTCACACTCCATCATGACTTGTTATATGGGATGGCTTTTGATAACACAGAAACATCTCTCATGATTAAAAAGTTCTTAGTGGCTTAATCTCTCATGGAGCCAAATACTAGTTCTATTTTTCTCATTCCTCATGACAAGCCAAATAACAATCTATAATTAAGAACACTGATATAGCATCCTACAGTTTTCAAAGAAAACCATACTTGTTGGGCTGGGTAGGTGGCTCAGTGGTAGAGCGCTTGCCTTGCATGCATGAGGCCCTGGGCTCGATTCCTCAGCACCATATAAGCAGAAAAAGCCAGAAGTGGCCCTGTGGCTCAAGTGGTAGAATACTAACCTTGAGCTAAAGCGCTCAGGGACAGTGCCCAGGCCCAGAGTTCAGGCCCTGTGACCGACCAAAAAAAAAGAAAAAAGAAAAAAAGAAAACCGTACTTGTTCATATTTGTTTTCATTTATAACCAAGTAATCAAGCAAAGGTGAACTAGGCAGCTTGGCTGTAAGACGCTCCCGATTGCAATGTCACACTTTCTAGTATGAGCAGGTGGATCCTGAAGTCTCCTCTTCCTGTTATACTTCAGCCGGTCAGCTCTGTTGTACCCTTAGTATTCCCTTTGAATGTCTAAGGCACTAAACCGCTTTTCACTGGAGCAAAATCATTATCAAGAGGACCTATCTTAGGCTAGATAAAAGAGAACTAAGGACACAAATGTATTAATTGAAGTATAGGATATTCAGGGGGACATTCCAACAGTGCAATCCCTCAGAAAGGCACACAGTCCAATACAATAAACACCAGGAAATGGACTTGAAAAGGAGGTGAGATTAAGGGACAGGGAATAGACAGAGAATACAGCCATAAAATTCAATGCATATCCTACAAAATTAAGAAAATTGAGGGTAGGGGTAGAGTTGGTAAGGATATAGAATGATGAAAAGGGTGAAATCAATCAAGATGCAATATATTTATACGATGCCTTGTTGGAATGGCAACTCCTTTGTACAACTAAAGATAACGAAAATATAAAAATATAAATTCCTGATTCCTCCCTCTCCCCCAAAAAGAGAGAACTAAGAGAGTACTAAGGACGGAACCCAGGGCCTTGTACATGCTAGGCAAACATTCTATCACCCATATACATCTCAAGTTCCCTAATTTTCAGAACTTTTTTTTTTGGTCGGTCATGGGGCTTAAACTCTGAGCCTGGGTGCTATCCCTGAGCTCTTCAGCTCAAGGCTAGCACTCTACCACTTGAGCTACAGCGCCACTTTGGCTTTTTCTGCTTATTATGTGGAATCAAACCCAGGGCCTAATGCATACAAGGCAAGCACTCTACCACTGAGCCACCTTCCCAGCCCCAGGAGAGATATTTCAAACTATAGTCTAAGTAGCAGAGGAGAGGCTGTGTGTTATGTGTGTGTGAATATGCAGGTGCACATGTTAGTCTTGAGGCAGTCAGTGCCTGGGTGCTGTCCCTGAACTTTTGTGCTCAGGGCTAGTGCTCTACTAGAGTCACAGATCTACTACTAACTTTTTGAAGGTTAACTGGAGATAAGAATCTCAGACTTTCCTGCCCATGCTGGCTTTGAACTGTGATCCTCAGATCTGTCTCCTGAGTAGCTAGGTTTACAGGCTTCAGCTAATGGTGACCTGCAAAAGGGCTAATATTTTAGCAAAACTTTTAAAAGGTACTCTGCGATTATGTTGCAAAAGTCAAATGTATTATTTCAGCATTGTTCTGTGGAAAAGATGCCAAATAGACTTGTGTATTTTGATGAATTTTAAACATAAGACGAAACTTCTCATATTCTGTCATCTTGTACTGCACCTTAGGGCCTACCACTCCTGCCTGCTCACCGTGAGCCCAGATCTCACTTGTACCAAAAGCACTTCAGAATTTAGGAGTAAAAATAATAGTATTACTGAATTAGTAGTGTGTATATATATATATATATATATATATATATTTTTTTTTTTTTTTTTTTTTTTTTTGCCGGTTGTGAGGCCTGAATTCTGGGCCTGGGTGCTGTCCCTCAGTCTTCAGCTCAAGGCTAGCACTCTACCACTTGAGCCACAGCACCACTTGCGGCTTTTTCTGCTTATGTGGTGCTGAGGAATCGAACCCAGGGCCTCAGGCAAGCACTCTACCACTGAGCCACCTTCCCAGCCCAGTAGTTTATATTTTTTAAATTAGCTTACAATCTTAAAGCTTTTAAAGATGATGATACTTAAAACTTTGAAGTATCATTTGTTTTGCCCATATAAGGATATATGCATAATTCCTTTTTAAATGGTAATATGCAAATATGTCTACTGGGAGGATGGTCCTGACAAGCAAGGGAAGGAATGGTCCCTTCCGGTCCTTTCAGGTAAGATCCTGATATTGCACTGCATAGGACAGTCTGACATTGCCACTACCCATAACAGTAGCTACAGAACACTGTGCAATGCTAGTCCTTTCTGAGGCTGACAACCAGTCCTGTTTGCATGCTGTTCACTTTAGGAAAAACAGTCATTGGCACTCATTTCTTGCCCCATCCCACTCCTATAAGTCAGGCCTTGATGCAGTTTCCAAATATATCAGTAACCTATGAAGGCACAATCTAAAGGTGACTTTGCTTGGCTTATAAAAATTGTAAGATTGAGAAATTATCCAACCAATAAGCAAAAGATGAAAGTAGCTTCTGATCTTCAAGGTATACTTAAGCACTAAATGTTATCTTAGAAGTTTGGAAGCCAGGTGCCGGTGGCTCACGTCTGTAGTCCTAGCTACTCAGGAAGCTGAGATCTCAGGATTGCAGTTCAAAGCCAGCCAGGGCAGGAAAGTCTGTGCCGCTGATCTCCAATTAACAACCAGAAAACCGGAAATGGCGCTGTGGCTCAAGTGGTAGAGCGCTCACCTTGAGCTGTATGACCACTCCCCCCCCCCCAAAAAAAAAGTTTGGAAAGAAGCCAGGAGTCAATGACTTACACATGTAATCCTAGGTACTCAACAGGTGAGATCTGAGGATCAAGAGGTTTGAAGCCAGCTCAGGAAGGAAAGCCTGTGAGACTATCTCCAATTAAACAGAAAAAAACTGGAAGAAGAGGTAGATTGTCAGCTATGAGTGAAAAAGCTATGTGAGAGCACCCTGGCTCTGAGTTCAAGCCTCAGTACTGGAACAAACAGATAAGAGGGTTTGGAAAGAACTGTGACAAAAGTGAATTCAGGAGTCATCAGAAGAAGGTTTAGAATTCAAAAGTTCCATCGATGATTATATTTATTTAAATATTCTTAAATTGTATGTTTCAGATTTAATTTACTTCATAGATTCTCTGAGCACAACTGCATTCACAGGTTCCAACTTCGTGATTACTTGTTTTCCCATTCTTCTCTCTCTTTTTTTTCCCGAATAACCTCCTTCAGGTATGGTTCAAGGTAGAATTTATCCTATAAATAAATTAAAAGAATTATATCCTATGTTTGTATTCTGATATATCCCAAACACTTGATAGGTCTCAACAAATGAAACCCACAATTACTTTTTATTTCCAACATAAGAAAATAAATTCTCAACCAGACTGATAACTATGTCTTTATTTATTTAGCCAATACTACGGTTTGAACACAAGGTCTTGAGCCTGCTAAACAGGTGCTCTACCACTTGAACCTTGTTTAGCCCTTTATTGCTTTAGTTATTTTTCAAGTAGGGGCTTGCCCTTTTGCCTGGAGCTAGCCTCATTCCTTGATTTTCCTAACCATGGCCTCCCTGTGCCTGGGATCACAGGCACACATCACCATGCCAGTTTATTGGTATGGGTCTCAACTTTTTGTCTAGGTTGGCCTTGAATAGAAGTAGCTTAGACTATAGGCACGTGCTACCTTACCCAGACACTATTTGCTTTTTAAGATGTAAAAGTCCACAAAGATATTACAGGTTGCTCTGATAGGTTACAAAAGGGAAGAAAAAAAGAAAGAGAAAAAAGAAAGGATGATGGTCTGTAGGCTTTTCCCTAGTTCCAGCATAGTTCAGGGGTAAAAAGTCCTTTTTTGGACCTGGAGGGACCACTCAGTGGACTTGAATGCTAAATGTCATCTGAGCTGAGAGAGAGTGAAGAGGGAGAACGCCCTGGGAAGGAGAGCACCTGGTCTATCACAGGAGATTTTCCTTCTGACTTTGGAAGTCACTCTATTTCTAAGTCTCAGTGTGTTTTTCTCTAAACTGGGGCTAATACTTGCTCCACTAAGCTTAGCAGGCTGTGGTCAGGACAGTTATGTGACATCATGTTGAGAGTGCTAATGCAGTGGGAATCAATACACTTATCTTATACTCCTGTCACCAATGTCAATTACACTAAAGCTGTTCTACCTCTTCATATTTTGTCCACTGCTCCTTAGGCAAGATCTGCTGCCTCATGTTCAGGTCCAGAGCTCTCTTGATCCGAAACATCCTGTCATTATAAAGTTTCTCAGGAAGCCTTCTTATGGCTTCTTTTACATCTTCAGTCTCTTGTATGGTATCATCTCGCATTAACCCTGAGACAGAAAAATAAATCTATCAAAAAAAGAATAAAAAGGAAGTATTTTTTCCCTAATGAGCAAAATACCCTTATGAGTTATAACTCAGGACATGGGTGAAATACTGAGAGTCCAAATCACTAGGTACAATGGAAACCCAAAGGAGTTGAGAGGAAAATAAGGATGTCCTGCTACTATAAATCATTGCTTTCTCAAAGTATTTTTTAAAATAATAAACCTCTTATAAAAAGAAAAAGGAAACAGGAGTGAACTTACCCAGTTTGTTGAATCCTGCAGCACTGTAATACCATTTTCGAACACCATCCAGCCACCATCCAGAGGCTGAAACTGGTAATTATTGCATTGTTAATTTCTATGAACATAAGCAACCAGTACTCTTATAGCTATCTTCATGCAAATACAAGAAGGAATGTCCTATTAAAAATTCATACTCTCAGTCAGGCACTAGTGGCTCACACCTGTAATCCTAGTAACTCAGGAGGCTGAGATCTGAGGATCATGGTTCAAAGCCATCCCAGGCAGGAAAAGTCTGTGAGACTCTTATCTCCAATAAACCATTAGAAAACCGGAAGTGGCGCTGGGGCTCAAGTGGTAGAGGCCTCACCTTGAGCTGAAGAGCTGAGGGACATTGCCCAGGCCCAGAGTTCAAGCCCCATGACCAAAAAAATAAATCATATTCTCTACAGTATAGGTAAGAGTTCTTTGCTTTATCTATGATAAAAAATGACTAGATAAAATATATGGCACATCATGGGAGAAGAGGGTAAGCTCAAACAGCAAATATATAAAAAGATCGTTAGGTACAACTACTGCAGGTCAGCCTCCCTAAGGCTTAACAAGCCAATCCCTAATATCCCTGCAGAACTGGGGATGGGAAAGGAGCCCAGAACATTTCTACAATTTGTAGTTGCAGAAATAAATTACAATTACACTGTTCTTTTCAAAGGAAGAGGAGGTACATGAAAAGAGGGCTGGATTTCAGGATGGGTGGCAGGGCTACAAACCCCCACTCTCTTATATGTATTATTATTATTGCATCTGGTTATCTTCTTTGCAGCTAACTTTCCATTAAGGGAATGAGTATGTGAACACATAATGAATTTGAACATGAAAACTCTTTAGAGACTATGAACATGAAAACTAAAGAGGCTGAGTGTGGTAGAGCATACACTTGTAATTCTAGCACTGAGGAAGCTGAGGCAAGAGGATTGTGAGGATTTGAGACACTGTCTCAAAAAGTAATAAATTTAACAGCACACACACACACACACACACACACACACACACACACACACACACACACACCAACATCTAGGGCTAGCCCCTTACCAAAGAAGAAAATCAAACTGCCCTTTCACTTCAACCACAAACTCCTTAATACACTATACACGACTTTGGAAACTCTCCTTGGAAATAAAACCATGTATAAAATTATTTCTAGGTAAAAATATCAGTCAACTATCTAAAAATATAGTTAACTGTCTCCAAACATACTTGTTGTAAACATACTGGCAAGTGATAATGATCATGGTTATCGTTCACTAAACATTTCAGTGTGCCAGGCACTGTCCTGTTTGCTTTACCCATATTTACTAGGTTTATTTGTAATAAAGCTGTAGAGAAGTTAGCAATAACAGTGAATTATCATGGCCAGGCACCGCCGGCTCACCCCTGTTATCCTAGCTACTCAGGAGACTGAGATCTGAGGATCTGCTTTTCCAAGCCAGCCCAGGCAGGAAAGTCTGAGATTGTTTTATCTCCAATAAACTACTCAGAAAAAGCTGGAAGTGGCACTGTGGCTCAAGTGGTAGAGTGCTAGCCTTGAGCACAAAGACGATCAGGGACAGCACCCAGGCCCTGAGTTGAAGCTCTAGTCCTTTTTTTTTTTTTAAGACAGAGTCTGACTAGGGTAGTGTAGGTGACCTTTACCTTGACATCCGCTTGATTCAGCCTTAACTACCGGGTTACCCCGCGTGGGGCACCACCCACGGAATACATTCTTGAACAAGTCTTACGCACTTTCACAACTCAATTCACTGATGTTCCTTGACAGTTTCACCATTTCTGAAGCAGGGCAGAATGGCAACAGTATTTAATTACAAAGACAAAAGCGAGTCCAAATTCCGCTGCCCGAGAGCACGGGGGTGGGATGAGTGTGTGTATGGGGGGGGGGGCCTGACACTATCTGAAGTGCACATCCCCTCCACCCCTGCGTGTGAGTCCTCAGGCCCCCAGTAAACGCAAACCCCCCCAAGCGCCCCGGAGGGCTCAGGGCTCCAGGGCGCCCAGGACGGGAACTCAAGGGGCTTCGCCCCAAGCCTGCGCAGCGGCCCGGGCGAGGCGCGCGCGAGGGCAGGGGGGCCCCAGGCCGGCCTCCTCGGGCCTCACGCGCGGAGGCCGGCGCTTCACTCAGCGGCAGCCGTTCCCCCGCTGTCTCCCCGCCCGGAACGCCTCGAAGGCCGCGGGGAGGGCGCGGCGGGGACGCGGCGGGACGCGGAGCCCCCCGCACCGCCACCACCCCCAGGCCTCACCCCATTCCTCACACCCGCAGGCAGCCACACGCGGGCCTGCCCTGTCCCGTGTGCGCAGACCCCCCCGGCCACTCAGAACAGAGGAGGAGCGAGGTCGAACGCCGCGAAGCTCGTCACGGAGCAGAGGGGCCCGGCCACTTACCAGCCGACCTGCCCGCCATGGTGACCCGAGAACGAAGCGAGGCCTGCTGGGTAAGTCCTAGAGGGCGCCGGGCCCAAGGCGCAGGCGCCTGGCGTCGCGACGCGCCGGAGGCGGTATGCGCAGGCGCAGTTCTCACGGCCCACGCGAGCAATCTGCTTTGTCTCTCCACTAGAGGGCAGCAAACGGAGTATTTGCAAGGGGCTAGTGATATAATGGGGGGAAAATGTATGCACGAACACACACACACACACACACACACACACACACGAGCGCTGGTCTAGGTTATGTTACTTAGTAGTTAAGAGTGTGGGCAGTATTAATGGAGCAGAAAGAGCCAGGTAATGCGTATAGGACCGGAGGATTGGTTCTAGGACCCAGGGGGTTATCTTCGGATGCTTAAGTTCTTTATATAAAATGATGTCGTTTTTAAGTGAAACCTACACACATCTCTGTTCTTGCTAATCATCTCCACTTGGTGACTGGCAGTCCTGGGGTTTGAGCTCAAGGCTTGGCACTCTCGAGCCAGGCTCTGTACTGCTTGAGCCTACACTGTTAGCCTCTCTAGATTAGTTTCAATACCTGATACAAATTCAGTACCTAATTTCGATACCTAAATACTTGCAAGTATTGTTACATAAGGAACGACAACAAAATGCACATGTTCAATAGCAACATAGGTGGGTTTTTTGTTTTTATTTTTGTTTGTTTTTTGTCAGTCATGGGGCCTGAACTCTGCCTGGGTTCTTCAGCTCAAGGCTACCACTTGAGCCACAGCGCCACTTCGGGTTTTCTGGTGATTAATTGGAGGCCCAGGGACTTTCTTGCCCTGCCTGGTTTTGAACTGTGATCCTCAGATCTCAGCTTTCTGAGTAGCTAGGATTACAGGTGGGCTCTTTCATTAAAAAAAAAAAAATTTTTCCATCCCTCTTGGAGGGTTGAACATGTAATTTCCAGAGATGGAGGACCCACAGTTTTCTCACTTAATTGCACAACTATAGTCTAATTATCGTGATGTTCTCCACTGTAAAGTGAAAGTTGAACCTCATTCAGGGTCAGTAAAGTGTGAAGGGTATAACTAGAAGAATCTAGGTACCAACTCAGGCTTCCTTAATCTAGGACTGTATGTCACATGGTGCATCTGGGAAAGACAACCTCGCTGGTTTTCAGTTTCTCTAGCTAAAGATCTACATCAAGCCATTTTAGTTGGAAGGTTAGGTTGAACAAGTTAATAAAATATTAAAAACTTCTCATATGTCTGGCATTCAGTTGGTATGACAGGACCAGCTGGAGTTTGGCCAGGAATCTTCCACTTCACCTACTTTCTTCAGTAATTGGGCTTCTTTAAATATGGCTTAGGTCTCCAAGAAAAAGTTCCCAAGAGGACAAGCCCCATGTGCAAATGCTTGTTAACCTCTGCTTCAGAATGTCTCAGGGGCCAGTTTAGATTGGCTCAGAGTCACTGGGGTATTCTCAAGAGTATAAATTCTAGGTTTGGTTCACTGGGAACTACCAGTGTACCACAACCTGGTGATTGTAAGGCAGATGACTCAAGTGATGCCCCATATTACAAAGAAGCAAAGACTCAAGAGATTAAAATCATTTTCTCCCTTGGGAGAAAATGTCAATTCTTACTATAAATCTGCTTGCTGGTAGTAAGCCAAAGTGTTATTAAATGTTATTAAATCTCATTGCCTCAAACTTTTTCTCCCTATCCTTTCTCTTTCCTGATTTTCAGTGGCTATTTATGGACAACTGTGAATACCAGAACATAGGAATACAACACATATAGCTCAGGAATACAACACTATGCATAGTCCAAAACAATGTGTTTTGAGAACCAAGTAGTGGCTGATATGATGTATTATGCTCCAGAAACTTGTATTTTATGGTATAAAATCTAAAAAGTCTGTGAATTCAAGAAGAAGAAAGACCCTCTTGAACCTTCACAGGAATAGCAAAGCATCTGCTCCTAAGCTCTTTCTCTAAGCTTGCTTTTATTTCAGTTCTCTTTTTCCTGAATAGAACGGTTATGGTTGAGTCTAACAAGAATTGAGTCAGAAGGAACTTACAAGAAAGAATGTATAGACCCAAATATACAATACCAATAAATTATTTCTAATATCAGTTGAGACCTAAGACAGTTACTTTAAAAATAAATTTATTTATATATACATATATGTACTTTACAATACTTCATTTTAGCATTCATCAAAAACTAAAGAGTTTTAATGAATTTTTCAAAGTCCTTTACTGAAGCTTTGGCAAGTTCTTCACAAAATATTTTATCAGGAATAGATACTAATTTGTCCAAAGAGATGTAGTTAGGTTTTTGTGGATCATACTGTGCTCTTCCTAAATAGACAAGAAACAGATGTCTTTCTTTAATTTTAAACAACCGTGTATTAAATACCTAGAAAAGAAAAATGAAGATTTTGTTAAAAATAAATTTAAGAAAGCTATACAATAAAAGATAAAGTACTAAAAAATTACTTGGCTAAATATTTTAAGACGTTAACAAATAGAACCATGATTCATGTTGAAAAATTCAAATCTTAAGTTTCTGTAAAAAAAAAAGTTATGAGGAAACAGACTGGGGTGTAGGTTAATAATATAGTACATGCTCATTATGTGTGAGATCCTAGATTGATCCCCAGAATAGCAGTAAATATTATTAAAAGATAGGACAGGTGTTGTAGTATATGCATGCAATATCAGCACTCAGCAAGCTGAGGCAGAAAGATTGAGAGATGAAGTCCAGCTTGGGCTATAGGGCAAAACCCTCTCTCAAAAACCAAATAACAACATTATGATTTAAAAAAGAACTCAAAAAGCAATTAGGTGGGAGAAATAGTTGTCTTGTCAAAGCTCATAGAATTCACAAACAGTGAAAGCAGGGGTTATTCTGTGGGGGAGGGACATACCAAGCAACAAAGAAATCATCTTATAAATATGTTAGAAACAATTGCATGAGAGCAAAAACATTAAATAGGGATACAGGCAGACCCATTGCAACAATGATATGTACAAATCATTATGTCAAAAAAAAGAACTTTACAACTTTGTGGGGAGGCAGGAGAAGGGGGGGGGCGATGGGAAGGGATGGGAAGGGGAAGCAAAGGAGGAGGCAACAATGCTTGATGAGAAATGTACTCATTATCTTGCCCGTGTAATTTAACCCCTCTGTACGGTATTTTCACAATTAAAAAAAAAAAGAATTCACAAACATTAAAGACCATGATAATAGCAATTTACCTGGTGAAGGTTACAATGTGTTTCACATAAATTTGTGAAATTTATTAATCACTTAAGCTCAAGAAAAAAATTATTAAAAAAAACAAAAAAAATCAATTAGAACAGTTAGAAAGGAATTAAAAGTTACATGATGGGCAAAGAAAACAGACTACCCCAGAGACAGAAGGGAATGTGTTAGAACAAATCTCAGGCCTCATCTCCAACCTATCTCATCAGATACTAAGAGTAGGGGCTTAGAAACCTGCTTTATGAAGCTTCCTAGATGATTCTGATTATGTGCCAAATTTGAGAACCAATGTCCATGTCAGAAAAAAAATAGTAAGATTGCAAATCTGTGAAATTTCCTTTAAAGAATTCCTGCTGCTCCCCAACGAGAAGCAAACAGTGAAGCCATGAAGTTGATCCTGTTAGGTAGCAATAAAACTTGCAAAAAGCCAGGTGAGAGGTGAAAACTTTACAAAGGATCCGAAGGCCTGGAGGTCTGGCAGAAGTGTGGCCAGAGCCAAACTCCAGAGGCTGAGGGCAAGATGCTGGAGGGTGAGGGGAGGGATGTTTGTGGTAAGCAGGTGTCCCACTGATGGTGAGGATCCAGGCTTGGACAGAAGAACTCAGTGCAGGACACTGTAAGCTCTAGGCCTTTTTCCTGGTGTACAAAGGAAACAAAGTAGTAATAGTTCACTTGGAAGGGACAATGAAAAATAACTGCTGAAAACAAACTTGCTTTGACAACAGTGGCCAAAAAAATACAAGGTACTAATTAAAAAATGGAATCAATATGCTTTGGGGACAAAATGACTCTTTTTTATGTCTCTGCAAAAACACAAATGACGCTCTTGGTAACTAAATGTCCCTTACCACATCATTACTATTAATGGTATAAGAAGCTTCAGATGTCTTTTGTTGTTTGTCTTTTAAAGTACAGCTCAAAAACCAGGAAATTAAAAAAAAAAGACCTAAATTTAACAATACTTTAAAGCATTTATATAGTTTATGACCAGATACTGTGTTTACTTCTCCAGTGGTCTGAGGTTACTATGTAATGAATTCATGAATTTTTTTTTTTTGGGGGGGGGTCCGGTCGTGGGGCCTGAACTCTGGGCCTGGGCGCTGTCCCTCAGCTCTTCAGCTCAAGGCTAGCACTCTACCACTTGAGCCACAGCGCCACTTCTGGCTTTTTTCTTTTTGCTTATGTGGTGCTGAGGAATCGAACCCAGGGCCTCAGGCATGCAAGGCAAGCGCTCTACCACTGAGCCACCTTCCCAGCCCCTCATGTTTTTATTTTTGAGGCAGGTATCACTCTGTAGATTGTCTGCTCTGGAACTTGCAGTGCTGCCACACCATATGTCAAGGTTACATTATCATAAGAGAACTGTATGCTATTTCAGGTTCAAAAGTCACAGCTTAGATTGGGTTTCCTTTCAAAAACACTCCCAAATTACTCCCAATAATTACTCATTTTCTTATCCTAAGGTGAGCTGAGCCCAGCTTTGCCTTCACAAAAACTCTAATGGGAAGGTTAAGGCAACAAGGTTTTAGGGAACCTAAATATAGCCTCCTCCTTTAGACTAGTGATTTCCTCCTGGTCATTATCCTGAAACTGCTTTTATTTTCCTTACCTTTCATGATTTTTTTTTTTTTTTTGGTCAGTCGTGGTGCTTGAACTCTGGGCCTGAGCGCTAACCCTGCGCTCTTCAGCTCAAGGTGAGCACTCTACCGCTTGAACCACAGCACCACTTCTGGTTTTCTAGTGGTTTATTGGAGATAAGAGTCTCATGGGCTTTTTTGCCCGGGCTGGCTTTGAACCGTGATCCTC